ATCCAGCCTCTGGTCAATTTTAGCAGCAGCTGAATCGGGGAAGCTGGGAGCAGAGCAGCTCCAATGGTCCGGCTGTCCGGAGCACTTCCGGGTTCCTGATGGTGCCAGACCATCGGAGTTTTACTGTATAAGCATCCCCTGATGCTGTGTATTTCAAGTCGTGAAAGAGTGGCTGGGTCCCTTTTTTGCTCATTTTGGTCAAAGATAGGAGAGGAAAGATGGGACCACTTTCACATTGTGGATTTTTTTTTTTTTAAGTCATTCAATCACTGGCATTTTTTCACTGAAGGGATAAATCGGGCCCATAATCCCTATAAACTCATTCCAGCATGATCACTGCTCTCATTTCCCCCTCATCCCAATCCTCTCAGTCGCTCAAGCCATCTCCAATGCCTGCAAGTCTCCCATTCGCCATTCTTCAAATTCCTCTTGAGGAATTCTTCTTTCTTTGCTTCCTGTCAATTATTTTAGTAAGTCCAATCACTGTACACCACGAAGTCTGTCACTTTAATTCTTCTCTGGTATTATTGTAGGTGCAGAAATACCTCTGCACCAAATGCTTAAGACAGTGATCCCCTAAATTTTCAAGGTCATTCCCCCCCTTACTCCTGTCTGTGCTCTCTCCTCCAGAGCTGGGCTACAGCACCATGGTGCGTGGGGACAGGGCTATGGGTAGGGCAGCTAGGGGTGGGTCTAGGGCCAGAAGCAGAGTCATGGCAAGGGGCTGAGAGCAGTGCCCCATGCAGGTCTGGGAGTTGAGGCTGGGCCAGGTGGTTCTCCCTTCCACTCCCCAGGGAGGGGCTGAGCCTCACTGTGCTCCCTTGAACATTCCTTCCCACCCCTTTGAGAGGCTCACCCCGCAGCTTGGGGACTTCTGACTTAAAAGTCAATGGGACTGTCCTCCTGACTAAAATGATGCATGAACAGGTCATCGTGGCCTGAGGGCAGCATGGAAGCAGGAAACCTTTTTTTTTCAAATTGACAATTTTGCAACAGTAAATATTAGTGGGACATTGGACTTTGTGAGCTCAGTATTTCCCAGCTACAGGCACCTTAATAGGCTATCCACATTTGGATACACATTGGCATCCAAATGAGCATTTATTTGCCTAGACACCTTCTTGAACTTCCACAGATACGGAGATGAGCTTGTACCCTGTTCTCTCAGGCAGGTTCAAATCAGGAAAATACCACTGGCCGTTCTGCATTAAAACCTAAAAAACTTGACATTTCAGCAAGTGGCCAGGAAGACTTGGACAATGAACTCACTCCCTGTTCTAATGCAGCCATGTTCTGCATTAAAACCTAAAAAACTTGGCATTTCAGCAGGTGGCCAGGAAGACTTGGACAACGAACTCACTCCCTGTTCTAATGCAGCCATACATCATCAGAAACACGCAATGAAAAAAACATAAGACATCACACTCACAAGCATTTTAATTGAGTTATCTGCTGAAATTGCGTGATGGATGGGCAAGGTACTGTCCTTTTCTGAACATCCCAGGGTTCAGTAACCAAAATGTTAAACCCAGGTCGCAAGGAAATGTTGGCAGGGAGCCACGAGAACCAATGAGAAGAAAGTGTTGAGATTTAATTGAAAGGGAATCTGCCTGCAGATTTTCTTTGTGTGGGGTTTAAACCAGGAGTTGGAGGGAAATGATGAACTGAACTACAGGGATACCCGTGCCCAGAAATTAACAGGACCTTGAAGATTTGGATATGCAAGTAACAGGGAAGGTTTATTTAGACGTGATCATGTTATTTTCTTTGTTCTGGTGTTTGGTTAAACATCTCTGTGCTGAGTATTATGCCTCCCCCACCCCTATACTGTCTCTAAACTGAATCCCAGGGATGCAATTCTGTGTTATAATCTGCAGTTGCTTTATGACATCTAGCAACCAAGTATGCTTTGCCAAATGTATCTTTTCATTTTGTTAACAAAATCACCCTTTTTAAGGCTATGATCTGATTCTTGTGTGGTGGAATGCAGCACAGGAGGTCTCTGAATGCATGCCTAAGACTGAGGCGCCAGCTATCAAAAGTTATAGGGTTTTTTTTCCCCCCCAAGCTCTCTTGTGGGAAAAGAGCTGGGGGTAGAAGTTCCCAAGGGCATGTCTACACAAGAAAATTATTTTGAAATAACTAAATCGGATACAGAGACAGCAGCATGGGGTTGCAGCAGCCCCTGTTTGCAGGGGATCCAAGCTCCCAGTTGACAGAGCATGCTGCTCATCCCACAGAGCAGCCTTTGTCCGTGGCATATCTGGACCTGCCATAGACAGAGGCTCTTCCGTGGCAGCAACCCCTGTCTGCAAGAGCTCCAGAGCAGTCGCTGTCTGCAGGGAGCTTGGATGCCCATGGACAGAAGCTGCTTTGTGGCAGCCTCACTTTCCCCTTATTCTCCTCCCATGCTGCTGCTAGCTTCCCCCAGCGCTGGCTCCTGCCTGCCACCTCCCGCACCCCCGTGTCTCTGGAGGAGGCAGCAAGGAAGGGGGAGGCAGTTATCAGGAGCCTATACGAGTGGGAAGCTAGCTTCAAAGCTGATCCACACACACATTGGATCCAGTCTACCTCCATTCACCAGTGTTCCCTCTAAGCTGCATGGCATCCCGGCTTCACAGGCAATTAATCAGCTCTGCCCAGTCAGTGAGCTCCATGCTTGGAGCCCTGAGCCTCTGACTGGGCAGGGCCGATTAATCACCTATGAAGCTGTGCTGCCAGGCAGCTTAGAGGGAACACTGCCAGACATCCTCTGTGCTCCTGCCTCTTTATCAGAGGCAGCAGTGTGGGGGTGGGGAAGAGGCAGGCAGATCCAGTGCTCATGGGGAGCCTGCTTTTAAGCTAGCCAGTCACCCGGTGGGGGGAAATGTGTGTAGTCCACAAGTTTAAATGACAAGCTTAGGCTTATCAGTTAATTGTGTAATCGTCTACACAATGACATCCCTACTTCAAAACCCAGCCACATATGTACAATGGCAATTTGTTCCCGTGAAACTGTGTCACAGTCAGATGCAAGAAATAGCTTCCATTCTGAGACGAGTAAGACCAATCCACAAGTTAGAGGGAAAGGTAATGTTTAGAGGTGGTAATACCTAAGCTTCTACCAGTTTTCTACACAAAGGTCAACTTTTAACTAGAGGAAGCTGACAGAAGGTAGAGAGGACATTTCAGAGCACATGGCTTACATAGGTTTGAACAGAGGAGATCTGCGGTGATTAGCTCTCCTGGAAGACAAGACAAGGTTGCTTGCTACAAAGGAACTAAATCTAAGACTTCCAATACATTGATTGCAAGGGCTCGCTAATAAGCACAGATAGTACCTCTGTTGTACATCATTCGCACAGGCCTCTGAAACAACCGGCAGGAATGAGTAATACCTGGAAAACGAAGTCTGGATTACACATTGCTGTCTTTAGTCATTGAACCCTCAAGTGGATTTATTGTCAAATCAGCTTTATTGCTATTTTTTAATGAACAGCAGAGAATATGACAGACCGCAGGTCAAAACCCACTGTAATCTATAGGATTTGTACATTTGTGCAATAATAATGGATCTACACACTAACAAAGGAAGAATAGCTCATGTAATAGCACAAAGGAGCAAACACGAAGTGTCTGACAGCAACATTTAAAGAAAGCCCACATGCATAGATTCAAGATAGTGATTAAATCAACATATGCAAGTGAAGAGAAGCAGAGACCAAACTGAAGAATTAATCAACTTCACATCTCCTATTCACTGAAGAGCTACAAGTAGATCACTGTGCCAAAAGGATCAGATGGCTCAGCAGTCATACCAGTGACCTCCCCAGATCTGCTTCTATTTCACAATGCAACTCTCTTTGAAGAAATCACTTACAAGTGGAGGTAGATTGGGGAGGCAGTTCTCAAAGGCTGATCCACTGACAGCTCAAGAAAGGATTTCACTAGCATTGGCTGCATTCATGACTAAGGGCTATGTTTCTAAGAGTAGCCAGGGACTTGTGGGTGCCCAACATGAGACATCTTTGGCTTGAATTACAAAAGCATTGGACTCCCATCACTCCATTTTAAAGCAACAGAGATTGTAGACACTCCACACATCTGAAAGTCAGGGCCCAAGGTGTGTCAAGCTGGGCAACTAAAGTCAGTGGCCTCTCTTTAAAAAAAAAATGTAGATCTATAGTCACAAGAAAAATATTGACCTTATCCTAAAGCTCTTGTCACTGCAGTATCTATTCAGCTTTGTACTGTTCCTGTCACTGTAGAATTCATGTAATTCGTAACCAAACAAAGCCATTGTGTCTGGAACACTTACCAAAATAAAAAGAGAACCATTCACAATTATCTACAAAACTAAACATGTTTCCAGTGACCAGCTCAATGGAAAGCAATTCTAGGTAATTTCTTTCCTCATAGCAAGACTCATCTGGGCTATCATTCCCCATACAGCAAAGTGATTGTTCCTCTCTCAAAAGAGGTGAATTGTCAAAGAATTTCTTTCCAAAGTCAAAGAGAACTAACAAAGATGATCAGAAGAATGGAGAACCCATCTTATGAGGGGAGACTAAAAGGGCTTGGCTTGTTTTGTCTAGGAAAAAGAAGGCTGAGAGGGAAAAGGACTGTTCTCCACAAATGTAGTTGGTGTCTCATCACCAGGGATGGAGACGAGCTACTTAAGGAAAGAATTGGAACAGGAAGAAATAAGTAAAATCTGTCTATGAACACATGTAAGTAGAAGTAGTTTTCTGACCCTCAGAGAAATAAGGTTCTAAAATAGCCTCCCCAAACTAGTGGGAACAAATAACCTAATTAGCTTTAAGAGGTAAGCTTATGGGTGGTATGGTACAATGTGGTTGCCTGTGACAACAGGCAACTAAGGTTTACTGGCCCAAGGGCTCTCTTCTGGTGCTCTCTCTCATGTTCCATATCTCCTGGGTCAGTCCTTCAGCTTGTCCCCTGCAAGAGTCATGAACAGTCCAATCAGTGCCAGAGCTTGCCAGTGCTGAGTCCTGGCACCTCTAGACTTGCCGTGTAATTTACGAAAGTAAAAAAGTTGCTTGAGTACCAGGACCTCAAGCACTCATTTGAAAAATCTGCCCAATACAAGCCTCAGTCTTTACATGTTCTAAGCTTATCCTCCCAAGCTTGAGTACATGCACCAGTGCTTTAGACAGCTTAGATTCTAATATCTCCAGTAAAGGGCCTCCCACTATTTTCCCTTGGAATACTGTTCCACAGTGATGTTCTAGTTCTGGCTGAAATACAAAAGCTACTCCCCACAGCTTGAATCTCAGAAAGGACATCATCTGAAACACACAGCACCACATTGATCTGTAGTGTAACTTCTTTGCCTTCAGGAGGAGTGGCACAAGCAGCCTCCCGAGGCCCCTGGGTAAAGTGTGTGAGGAACACTGCCATGCCTCCGGAAGGGGTGGGGTCTCAGACAGAAGGAGCGAACCTAGGGCAGCCAGACCTCAGCCGCGCCTGGAGCCATGTCAGTCCCCAAGTAACACTCAGTGCCACCCGCCCCTGCCTTCTCAGGCAGCCCCATGGAGCATGTGGGGCAGCGCTCCAGTGGAAAATTAAAGAAGCCAAAGCTCCAGCTGCACCGCTGCCATAGTAGCGGCCGTGGCAGCCGGGAGCCCCAGGCCCCTTTGAATTGCCGAGCTCTGGGATAACTGCCCCCTTTACCCACTCTGTCAGCGGACCTGCGGACAAGGGATAAAGTTTGGCTCAACGTGAACAAGTGAGGAGTCAGAGGAGAAAGGGCCTAATACATTGCTCAACGGAAAGTTAGATAAAGCCTCTTACCAATACTGATTAATATGTTACTCCACCTGTAATCACATTGATCTCAAGGTGCTAACTCAAAGTAGGGTTGGTATAACCAGGACCAGAATAAGCAAGATATGCCTAAAAGCACAAATAAGACAGAACTCTGATACAAAAAAGCAAGAGATACCCCTAGCAGTCTCAAAGATGGGTTAGATTCAGCATAGAGAGTGATTGATTTGTAAATGCATGCCATCCATCAAAGGGCTTTAGCGATTTTAGTAAACCCTACAGGAGCCAAGGTCGATGGGGAGAACATTAGCTTAACACAGGAGCTGATTTATAGTGGCAGCAATTGGTCTTTCCTGATCCATTACTTTTTATGATAGACAAGGAATTGCTATATTATGTGTAATATTTATTTAAAGCTTTTAAATCATTTCTATCTGGTTGTGGCATTACTCTCTCCATGCTTCCCCCACTGGATGAATGCTCCCTGTCAGTGATTGATTCCGAGTGGTGCTATTTCTCTCTATGCATTCTGATAAAAGAAGATGTTGCTTCTGTTTTATCAGGCCTGAGTTCTTATGAATCAAGAGCATTTTTTTTAAAGCAGTGACGAGGAAGCATGAAGTTTGTAAATGTTTCCACATTAAAGGAGTCTCTATTTTTCATCTGAATGCAATCACTCGCTAAGGTTAATGGGAGTCATGTTAACACAGAGGAGAGATAGACCTTTAAGCAGAAACATTACTCAGCAACGATAACAGAAGAAGATTGCCTTAAGTGTGATGTTGGCATTACACCTGTAAGCAGCAGCAAGCACATGCTGTGGGAAACAGCAACTAGCATATCCTGAGTTGACAGTACATTGTGGGCACCCCTCTCATACAACCCATTTTCAAGTACTGCCATTTAATCTTCCTTTGCATGAATATTCACACTAGTTCGAAGAAGCTGGATTGACAGTCCTAAAATTATCTATTCATCCATTCCACAGGTACAAAACCAGCTGTCTCACCAAGACACACACACACACACACACACAATGAATATTTGTAGAGTAAGAGGAAAACTACCCCCATGGTCCCATTCTGTCCTTGGTCACGCTGTTGAGACTTCCAACAAAGCACAAGAGTAAGGAAGGGTGGGGTAATTAGTCTCAACTGAAACAATGTACGGAAATACAGACATCTGTCTGGTGAAAAATTGACTGAGATCCTGCAAAGCCACTGCACACAGGAGTAGCCAGACATGATAACTTTCAGGCTCTGCTAGCCCAAACTAGATTCAAACCATGTGAGAAGATTCAAAAGTTCCCGTCTTCTCCGCCCCAACTGCAGAACATCTAATAACCTCACATCTTGAAATATGTGCATTATTCAGATTTGTCTTTTTGTAAATCAATTGTCAGTACTTAAACTCACTGCTACACATACTAATGTACAGTTTTGTGCATAATATAAATTGCTTAAAACTGTTGCTGAGAGATAACAACCATGAATGGGTTAAGGATCAAAGGTACATGTGAAGTCAGTTTAGGCACAAAGTTCAAAATATGTAAACTGTTAATGGTGCAATGGTGCTTCTGACAAAGTTTATTTTTGAATGAATAGCATCCCCACTGTTGTATTTGAAACCCAATTACTGGTGCATAAAGCTAGTTTGAAAGACACATGAAGTGGAACCAACTAAATGTGTAAGTTAAAACTGATCAGTCTACTTTCACTGCCTAAGCTTAGAGAAAGGGAGCAAAAGAACAGGTTCAAGGCTGAAAAATAAATTTGGTTTCTAATACACCTGCGGATTTAATGATTTCCAGTGTATTAGTAACCCAGCTAAAGAAGGCTGTTTCATGAATTTGACCTGAGTATTCTTTTCAGTACTCCTCCTTAACAGTATCCCTTAAGGACAAACCATTACAGATCAATTTCACTTAAACGGCAATGAATCTTGACTCAACAGACTAAGCTAAAAGGAGTCATAAAACAACCTCAGTGACCTCCGGGCCCTGTTGCTCAACAGAGAAAGACTGTGCTGTTCGAACAGCTGTTTAAATCCCTCCAGAAGAAAGTAAATCCAGCCACAAGCAAACTTGATGGGGCAGAAACAGTTCAGCTGACAAAAGAGAAGCAGAGAGAAGGAAAAGCGAAGAGACACGTGGCTGAGTTCGCATGTCTACCCAGACTGACAGTGTGGAGACACACACGCTATAAAACAATCTTGATTTTCTTCGTGAGCAAACGCATGGTGGGCCAATGCTTCAGCATGCCTCAGACATCCAAGTAGCCTCGTGGGATTCCCGGTATGTTTTTGTGTAGCCTTTAAACACAAAACCATCCTGAGAATCCCATGGGGCTACTTTGAACGGACACAAGGGAGCAAAAGGCGGGGGGTGGCACAGACCCTGGCGCCGCTTCCAATGCCTGCTCCAGACACGTGTTGGGGCCCGCGAGGGGAAGGGCCCTGTCTTGGGGGCCAGGCGACAGGGCACTAGGGTTGAGGGCAGGCACCAGGAGTGGATCCCAGTGGCAGGGCGCCCGGAGGAAGAGAAGGGGCTACTTTGAACGGACACAAGGGAGCAAAAGGCGGGGGGTGGCACAGACCCTGGCGCCGCTTCCAATGCCTGCTCCAGACACGTGTTGGGGCCCGCGAGGGGAAGGGCCCTGTCTTGGGGGCCAGGCGACAGGGCACTAGGGTTGAGGGCAGGCACCAGGAGTGGATCCCAGTGGCAGGGCGCCCGGAGGAAGAGAAGGCCCCAGGGGGTGGGTGCCCCACGGGCAGAGGGGAGCCGGGAGAGAGAGCTCGGGGGG